CTGATCACCCCGTGAGGCCACCATACCAGTTTTGGCTACGTGGTGGCAGGTAGCTACAAGTGGCTCGTGGCTTTCCCTTCTCTGGAGAATGGCCCATTTGGACTGGAGCTGTTCCACCCATAACCCGCTGAGCCGCATTTGCTCAGGAGGTTATGGGTGTGGGGGTTCAGGGTGTGGGGGTACAAAGGGCCTTTGCCTGAGCTGCAGGAGACGCTCCGGAGCTCCCCATGGGGTCCTCCTGAGGCCAGTCCCCAGCCCCATCCCGTGTCCCTCATTCCCCTTCTTGGAACGCCCCTCATGAGAACCACCGTCGCAAGCTCTCCTTCTGGGGACCCAACCTCAGACACCCTACTCTGCTCCCTACCCGTGCTAAGCCACAGACCAAGGGTCTGTGTCTCAGAACGTACCCTGATCACTAGACTCCATCTACTCGCCCACTGGTTTTGCAGTGGGCGGACGAGGTGACGTCAGCTGCTTAGATCCAGCAAAGCAGGCACTATGGTGCGAAGAGCTCAAGAAAAATGAACTTCTTCCGGGGCGGGGGGCAAAGGCCAAGGGAGCGCTCGGCAAGAGAGGCTTCAGATCTGGCCAGCGTGTGGGGCCCCCCCGGCCGAGTCCCTCGCCTTCCCGCCCCCCTGCTCCAGGCCTGTTTGAAGTCTGTGGGCTGCCCGGGCTGCTGGACGGACAGCATTTGTAAGCAACTCTCTCCCCAGCCCAGTTAATAATTCAGGAGCCAGTGCCCGCAGCCAGCCCATCGCTCCAAGCACGCCGCGTCCCCAGCACCAAGCCCGTGGACAGGAAAGGAGAAAATCACTGGACCCGCTTGAAAAATGGTCCCTGCTCCAAGAGCTTGCTGCCTCCCCAGCGCCGGGCTGGGAGAGAGCTGGGCCGAGACGTATCTGCCAGGCAGACGGCGAGAGAAGGATGGAGCGGCCCTGGGGGCTCAGGCGTGCACCCGGAGCGGTATTCAATTTTCGGATCCTGAGCCGCATTTGCTTTTGGACCACGGGCTGTGGTCGCTGGGATGCAGGCCGTGGGGGACTCAGCTTTCTTCTGACTCAGCAATTCATCCTTCACCCACTGTCTCCCCTTCGTTCGCTCATTCAGCCACTGTTGATGCTACTGACACGGAAGTGGCATTGACGATACGGGCAGGGGGTGGGGAGTGACAGCTGTCCTCAGGGGGGCAGACACGAAGAGTGGGGGGTGCCACACTTAAGGGGCTCGGGACAAGAAACAGCCAGCCGGGAGCTCTGCGTGTGGGGGCGGCCCGTCCCCTGGGTGTGCCGGGACCCTAAATGTCCAAAGCAGGGAATGGTTAAGGTCATGGACTCTGGGGCCAACGGCACGGGTTCAAATACCAGCCCTGCCACTAACCTACCCAGAGTTTGCCTCTCTGTGCCTCAGTTTCCCCATCTATAAAATCGAGTTAATAATGGGAGACCGGTACAAACTACCTCTTAGGGTTAAGATAATGGACAGGGACTTCAAGGGCGAAAATGAAAAACCCAAACTCGGGAAATTACAAAGTGCTGGCAATCACAAAGGAAAGCCACCTTCAGAAAGTGACTCGGTGGGTCCTTACAAAGCTAGGCACCCTTCCGTCCCAGGCAGCCATCCCACTCGTGGGTGCTCAGCAGAGTGAAGTGAGAAACTTATGTTCATACCAAAACCTGTACGTAAGTGATTATTAGTCGTTTCGTAACGTCCCCGACTGGGAAACAACCCAAATGCCTCTCAACCAGAGACCTGATGGACCATGAAACATTACTCAGCAGCAAACAACGCGGGTGAGTCACAAATGGCCAAGTGAAAGCTGCCAGGCTTGTAAGGCTGCTAGCCATGTGCGCTTCTACGTGTGTGACATTCTGGAAGACGAGGGACAGAAAACTGGCCAGCGGTGCTGGGGTGGGAGGAACTGACCGAAAGGGGCAAAAGGGGACTTTTGAGGTGCGATGGAACTATTTGGTATTGAGGGTGTGCTGACCACGTGTGCTTATCAAAAACCAGAGAACTGTACACGAAAATGAGTACATGTTACTGCACATAAGTCATGACAGGTTTGAGGTGGTCTAGAGAGGGTTAGGGGGAGGAGGCAGGAGTCCAGGTAAGGAAAACATATTCAGGTCAGCTTGTTGTAGAGCCTTGAAGGCCGTGTCAAATCCTTTGGCCCGCGGGGAAATTCGGAAGTTTTTAAGCAGTTAGGGAAGAGAAGCCAAGTTTTGTTTCAGAAAGATCGCCATGTTCTCTATTCAGAAGCAGAAGCCTCTGTGTGTGGTTCTGAAATTGCCTTCAGAAATGTTTTCATTGACTACCCCCGCTTTTTGGAGAGAATTTGATTTTGTGACCAATGTTTGGAAATCAGGAGATTTGAGGCGCGCCTGTTCACGAGTTCGAGCCCCGCGTCGGGCTCTGTGCTGACAGTTCAGAGCCTGGAGGCTGATTCAGATTCTGTGTCTCCCTCTCTCTCTGCCCCTCCCCCACTCACGCTCTCGCTGTCTCTCAAAAATAAATGTTAAAAATAGTTAAAAAATCAGGAGATTTGACATACAATTTTGAACTTCTGGCTTCTCCTTGTGTGGGGTTGCATGCTCTCCAGTGTGCCAAAGCCCCTCCCCTGCTCCCTTGTAGCAACTTCCTCGTTCCTGCAGGTGTCAGTTTTAGACCCCAGGGCTTGAAAGTGCATTTGATGGGGAACACAGCAAGGGCAGAGGTGCTTCCCAGCCCTGGCTGTACATTTTCATCACCCGAGGAGCTTTAAAGCCACTACAGATAACCAGTCCAGGTCTCTGGAGTGGCCCGGGCATCTGTATCTTGTAGATATTCCCCGGGTGACTCTACTGTGCAGGTAGGGCTGGGAACCACTGGTCGGGGAGGAAGGGGCCTGGATTAGGGGGTCAGCAGTGGGGGAGGGGCGGTGTTAGGGACTGATGAAAGGTGGGGCTGAGGCAGGGGTAGACCCCCCTCGTGATGAGGGTCCAGCCCGAACAATGGAGTGAGATGATGGCGTTTGCTGAGAAAGGAGACAGGAGGAGGTGGTCAGGGGACGGTGGTGAGCTCATGGTGGCCACTCTGTGCCCGAGCGGTCTGTGGCCTCCACACCGAGGGCTCAGCATGCAGCAGCACCTACAACTTTGCCTCTGTGTGCCCTCTGTCACCCTCTGAGACAGGAGAGCAGGGCAGCAATGGGGGTGGGGGCGGCAATGGGCGGACAGGGACCCCCTTGGGCAGGGCTGGGAGGGGCCTGGGTTGTGGGTGCTCTGTTCCCGCTAAGCGATTTTGCTGGGAGGAGAGTGGGGGAGAATGTACTCACGCTCCAGAGGAAGGGCCTCAGCAGTCCAGACACGCGATGCCCTTGAACCCAGAACCGCTAACTCCTGAAACCTAGCAAACCATCTGTGATCTGCCTCGACTTCTAAGCAGATGCTATGGGTCCATTGTTTTCGGTTTTTTGGTTTTTGTTTTGGTCAAGAATACTTCATCTAGGGGCTCCCGGGTGGCTCAGTTGGTTAAGCGTCTGACTCTTGACTTCAGCTCAGGTCGTGATCTTGCAGTCTGTGAGACCTCGTGTCGGGCTCTGTGCTGGCATCTCGGAACCTACCTGGGTTCTCTCTCTCTCCCTCTCTCTGCCCCTCCCCCACTCACTCTGTCTCGGTCGCTCTCAAAATAAATAAAGTTAAAAAAGCCGTTTTCACGTAATCCACATGACCCTTCTATCCATGTATGACATAGAGGGTATCGTTCCCATTTTCCACATGAAGAAACTCAGGCTCCAAAATTGTAAGCATTTTCCCCCAGATCACCAGCCTGGAGGTAACAGAGTTGGTAGCTAAGCCCTCCTGTCAACACGGCTCTTTAGTGCGTCTGAGTTTGTCTCTGTAACCTCGGCCGGGAACACACACACGAACCTCACCCCCTTTCAGCCTCTCCAGACACTTTTTATTGTCTCTGGTGCCCCCTCAGCTTTCCTTCTGGTACCTAGTGGATGTCTTCGTGACTGTTCTGACCTCCGCCCCTCCGTGGACACGCTCCCTCCCCAGGGTTTTCACGGTCAGCCCCCCGGGGAAGGGCTTTATGGTCCTGAGAAGGGGCAGGCAAGCGTCCTCAGCCCTCCCACCCGTCCAGGAGACTTTTGCTAAACGGCTCAGAGCTGTCTCATCCCAGCCATGCTTGGCTGGGTTGGTTTCTGTCACCGTTAAGCATTGACCATGGCATTGTCCTGCCATAGGAAGCAGTCCCAACCATCTCAACCGAGAAGGTGTCTGGGCTCCTTTCTCGCCTCTACCTCCTTGGAGATGCACATCGAGACAGGGACGGGGCCTCAGGGAGCCCCGTCCGGAGCCTCTCTGGCTCTCGCAGGCAGCACATCTTGCAGAGCTTGGTAGGGATCCGGCTCCCCAGGGTCGTGGTTTCCCGTCGATGGTGCTTCCTTCGGCTGGCTCCCGACGCGGACGGTCCCAGCCGCGGCTGGTGCTTGCTTCTCCTGAGCTCATCACGGTTGGTGTTGACTGTAGACGGTGCTCACCACTTCGCACGGTTTCTCCATGGGAGGTTCTGACATCAGATGGTTCTAAAACAGAGCTGGCATTTGCTGCTGACCGCGACCGTCCCCACTGATGAGTTTTGGCTGGCGATCCCGCAGTGACGGTTCTCCATACAGACGGTTTTGCCATTGACGGATCCTGTTAGAGGTGGCTCGTCGCTGGGGCTCGCAGTGGAGGGTAGACCCAGCCCCCCAGGATCCTGCTGCAGCTTCAGAGTAGACGGTCGTGCCGTTGATCGCTGACGGTCACTGCAGGTGGTGCTTACCTTTCACAGTTCTTGCTACACGTCACCCTGCCGCCGACAGTCGTTGCTACAAACGGGGCTCTCCACCCAAGGTTCAGACGCACTGGGTGCTTTTTAAAGGTGTCTGCTTGGCCGTAACCGCTCTGGGTAAAGTCCAGGCTTGCTGGGGGTTCACGTCCAGTTTTCAAGACCCTAGTGGCCGGTGAGCCTTCTCATGCAGGCACGCACGTCTGGGCAGGCTGCTTGCCCTCGGTGGCCTGGCTTTGGCCTTGCCCCCGACCTTGGTCGCTGGCCTTGGCCTTGCCTCCGGCCCCGTCCTCCTGCAGACTGGTGTTACTTTTCACCCCGGTCTGCACGCCGCCGTCCTCCCGCGTGCCCTGGCGGCTGCTGGCCTGGCTGGAGGGAAGGCTGCTGGTGGAACTGAACAGCCCGCTACTCACCTGGTAGTTGAGGGCGCTGCTGCCCAGACTGATGAAGCTCATGCTGGTCAGGCTGCTGGCCCCGCTGCCGCTGCCGCTGCTGGGCAGGCTGGTGTCGCTCTTCCCCTCCAGCCTGGTCTGCTCTGTGCGCCCGGCTGGCTCCTTATCTGGCTGGGGGAGTAGACGGCACACAGCTGGCTGCTCTGGGCGCTGTCTGTCTGGGTGTTGAGACTTCTGTGCAACCTCACGATGTGTCTCCTGGCCACCAGGCTGACCTCGCTGTTCTCCTCATCCCCCGCATACCCGCTGTCCAACAGGCTGGTGTCACTGTCCCTGCATGTCCCCAGGCTGGACTGTCGCAGGCTCAGCAAGTCGCTCTCCCTTCTCCACGCGTTTCCCAGGTTGCTGCCCAGAAGTCTCAGGGGCCCCTGAGTGGCTCCTGCGTCATGGTGTGGCCACGCGGGTGACTGGGGCTCTAAGCTGGGGGATGGGAGGCCTGGAGCTTGGTCCTGAGCATTCCAAGCAGCAGACTTCCCTGTTGTACCCTGGAGGAAAGTGAGGGACAGATGATCTGGTTTATCCAGGGGGAGGGGACCCTGGGAGGCCTCTGAATGGTGGGTGTGGTTTGTCTGGGGGAGAGGCAGTTCAATTTATAAGGTGGCCTTTCAAAGGGCAGTGTTCTGATTGGCTGGCCTGGTTCCCATGGTGATGGGTCTATGAGGCGGGGTGGGTGTGGGAGGGAGGACAATGCTGTCCTGGCACCAGTTACATCAGTGGCTGGGGCTGGAGGTGGGTAGAAAAAGGACTTATGGCCAGAGAGAGGCAAGGACCACCTTCCTGGGGACATTTCCTACGGGGCCTGTGGCCCCTGCTTTGCCATGTCATGACATCTGGGTGTGCCTCCTGGCTGAGCCCCTTCTGAGCTGCATTTCTTTAGGATATCATTGGTCACTGGTTCCACATCACACCCTACCCCTTCATCACCTCGAGGTGCGGTCATGTTGGCTGTTTCTTATTTGGAGCTCTTACCTGCCACAGGGACTTTGCACTGGCAAAAAAAGAAAAAAAGTTTCTGCTTGGAATGTTCTTCCCTCAGCCCCTTGGCCTTCAAGCCTCAGCTAAAGTGTCCCTGGCCTCTACAAGAACACCCCTCTGTTATTCTCTATGTCACTTTCTAACTTATGTGCTTTATGGCATTAAGTGCAATTTGCAAGTCTTTCGATGTGTCGGTTCCTTATTGCTGGTTCCCTCTGCTCGAATATCTTTGCAAGGGCAGAGATTTTGTTTCCTTATTCTCTTGGGGAGGCTAGGACCTGTGGCCCTGGTGAGTTGGGAGCTGCTGGAGACTCGTCAGCAGTGATGAGCAGACCGGAGTTGGAGCAGGCCGCTGCATGGGGGGATGTCCGGTGGGCAGGGTGGGACAAGGAGCTGGGTGGGGCCAGTGCAGGAATCCGGGAGTGACAGGGAGGGCCTGGACCATTGAGTGGCCGCAGAGCTGGGAGATCCTGGGTGTATCTAGAAGGCAGGACTCAGGGCTTGCTGAGGGGCCGTATCTGGGGGCTCGAGGAAGAGCAGGGTCAAGGCCAGCTGCGGGGTCCACGAGCCTCTGGGTCAGGGGCAGGATGGCCTTCTAGAAACGGCACGGCCTCCTTCTGAAGCATGCCGAATGGCATGCACCGTGGTAAGGGCTGTGAGGAAGGGCAGAGCCTAGTGTCTCAGAGGTGAGATCAGCGTGGGTTCGAGCCTCAGCTCGTCTGCTTCGGAGCCGTGCTTAGAGATGCCCCAAATGGGTGGTGGCGATTAAACCCTCCACAAACATTAGTGGAAGAGAAATGAATGCTAAGTGTTCTGTTAGACCCTCTACAGACAGCCGGGCAGTCCCTCCTTGCTGGGCCTCACAGTCGAGAGTTGGGGGGACACACAGGCTCATTTCCGACAGAAGTGCTGTGGGGAAAATAAAATGGGGAGGCGGGGGGACGGTAGGCTGGACGGTGCTCCATGAATAGAGTGACTGCCCCTCTCCATCTTGGGACTCTGGCCTGCTGTGGTTCCACTCCCGTGTCCTCCCCCCGGGTGACATCCCGTGACCACCTCAACCTCTCTGAACCTCAGCTCCCCCAGCCGGGCGGACAGGAAACACCCAGGCTAGGGTCTGCCCCTAGGTTCACCGTGGCAGCGCTGTCCGACCTCATGGAACCTTCTATTCAAGACAGTATAGGTGTTTGCATGAAAAAAAAAAATACACAAGTGTATGTGCATACGTACATATGTATGCATATATACATAAGTACGTATGTGTACGGATGCAAATACATTCACAGTATGTTTATATATGAATACAGAAGAATATGCATACGTGAGTGCACACAAGAATATATATCCACATGCGTATATGCATATGTAAGCATATCCACATGAAGACATATGCAAATATATATAAACATGCACACACTTTTTGGAAACCACAAACCCTCCGGCTCTCAGCATCACCCTCCAGGGTGCCCACTGGCCCCCAACGTTCCCCCTGGCGAGCTCTCTTATCCCAGAGCCTCCCCTGGGACCCTGCGATGGACACCGTGTTCTCTTTGCTGGAGGCCCCATTGTCTGGCTGCGTCTGGCCAACGACCCGTGTTTGTTCACTCTGGAGCGCCCCTGTGTGCTCACCGGGCAGTGGGGTGAGTGTGCTCCCCTGAGAGGCACAGCCCAGCGCAGGCCGCGGCACTGGGAACTCCTGGGCCCGGTGCCAGGCTGTAGAATGACCGGATATGGAGGACGTGTTGCACCCCGGGCACCTAGCTAGACGCTGGCATGCACTGTCTCGTTGAAGCTCACTCCATCCTTAGCCTGCCCCGAAGCCTGGCCCCTGACTGCCTGATTGGGCTGCCAGGCAGGCAGTGCTTGTCCCGGGGGTAGTGAGAGGCATTCCTGGGGGCCAGAGGTGGTGGGTACCTCCCTTCTCAGGTGCACTTGGCACTTGAGCAGGTGGTTCCAGGGATGGACCTGGGTCCCTGATGACAGGACCTTGGACTTTCTACCTTCTGCAGGGAGCAAGACGAAGCTTAGCCGTGGCCTGGAGGGGTGAACTGTTCCAAAAGAAGGAAATTCTTCCTCCGAGTTGCATTCTGCCCCACCCCCAGCTGTTAAAATTATTTAGCACATATGAAAGAAAGAAAGAAAGAAAGAAAGAAAGAAAGAAAGAAAGAGAGAGAGAAAGAAAGGAAGGAAGGAAGGAAGGAAGGAAGGAAGGAAGGAAGGAAGGAAGAGGAAGGAAAGAAAGAAGAGAGAGAGAGAAAGGGGAAGGAAAGAAAGAAAGAAAAAGAAAGAAAGAAAGAAAGATAAAGGAAGGAAGGAAGGAAGGAAGAGGAAGGAAAGAAAGAAGAGAGAAAGAAAGAAAAAGGAAAGAGAAAGAAAGAAAGGAAAAGGAAAGAAGGAAGGAAGGAAGGAAGGAAGGAAGAAGAAGACATTACAGGGGCTCTTGGATGGTTCAGTTGGTTAAGCATCTGACTTTTGATTTTGGCTCAGGTCATGATCTTGGGGTTGTGAGATCAAGCCCTGTGTCGGGCTCCATGCTGAATGAGAAGCCTGCTTGGGATTCTCTCTCTCACCTTCTCCCGCCCCTCCCCCCGCCCAACTCTCTCTCACTATAAAACAAAGAAAAAAGAAGAGATTACTGATAAACCTCCAAACCCATCTACCCGTCCCCATTCTCTCTCCGTGGCAGTCCAGAATCTCACGCTCATCATTGAATCTGACGCACGTCTCTGTACTTGGGGGTAGAAGAGGACGTACCCCTAAGCCAACATGGAATTGTGTCGCATGCTATCAATCTTGATATAAATGGCGTTCTTGATGTGTGCTTTTCCAACTTACGCTCAACACCAGTGCGACTCCTCTGTGCTGTGTCGCAGCTCAAGTTCACTTCCAGTACTGTAGGGTATCCTATTGATGAGCGTCGTGATTCGTCCATTCTAACTGGTGAGCATTTAGGTTACTTCCCCCTTTTCCCTTGCAAGAGGCGTGCCTTTAAGTGTCTCTGACATGATGTTTCCCCTGCAAATTTCTGAGAAGTGTCCTCCCAGACTAAGAAAGCTTCCAATCATTTTAATTGCACGTAATGAACAGAACAGACACTTCTCCTCAACAGTCGGGCCTCATCTTCCATCTGAATGTTTCTATGAGGTTCCGCTTAGGGATGGGATGAATCACTGGGGCATCTGTGGCCTGCATTATTGGGCCATAAAACATGGCCCTTACGAATGTTCAGCTTTAGCTGAAGATGAGGTCACAGGGCTGCCCCCTTGGGCGGGGATGAGGGGTGGGGGACAGCAGGAAGCGGGGACGCTGGGGTGGCCGAAAGCGGGTGATCCTCTCTCAGGGCTCGTCATCCAGCTCCCGTTAGCTGTGGCAAGACCCCATCTTGTGGTCTTCATTGTGGACTCAGCGTGTGGAGGACGGGGTGGGGGGGAGGGCGGAGGAGAAGCAGCCTGAGGATGAGGAGGGGCAAGAATATTCCCTAGAGCAAGTATGAGAACCGCACAGCAAAGTAACCAGCAAGCTCTCAGAGATCTGAGTTCAAATCCGCGCAATGCTGCTTATCAGCTGTGTGATCCCTGGCGACTTACCTAACCTTTCTGTCTCAGTTTGGGTTCCCTCAAGAGCAGCCTTAAGGCCTGGGCTTGGATCCAGTAGTTTATTTGGGGGGGGGGTCCCAAGAAGCCCCGTGAAGAGGTGGGACTGCAAGACAGGGAAGGCAGGGAAGCCAGTAATGGGGGCGTTCCAGAGAATGTGGGAGTCGGCTTGGGCCTCTCAGAGGCTGAATGGAGCACATCTCAGGGGCCTGGGGGGTTAGCCACGGGCTCCCTGAGCAAACCCCTGTGATGCCTGAGGAGCCCTGAGGCAGAGGAGGGCAGAGGGAGACGGAGCACAGGGGCACGCTGGGGGGAGAAGCCGTCACTCAGTACTGTCCGCGTCCAGACGGAGGCTGACAACCCTGGAGGGCCAACAGGACCTGGGTGGGGCTGTCACTGGAGCCTGCTAGAGTTGCCTCGTCTGCGGGGTCATGGCCCCTCAGGCCGTGGCGAGGATTCAGTGAGGCCAGTAAGCGCTCAGCAAGCCCGAAGTACCCGGAGCCTGGAGACCCTATGTCTCACGCTCTGGGGGCTTCAGGCTGTGGGGCGTGGAGAGGTCAAGGCCCCCAGAGTGGATGCCAAGTGTCTGTCCACCTTGTCTGCCTCAGGTGGCACACAAGTACTGACCCGGGGTGGAATCTCAGGAGACCACCAGAGGGAGACCAGCGCCCCGCCAGGCAAGGCGGAAAGGGGTCCCTACCGGTCAGCCGAGGCCACCCTGAGCACAGAACACGCAGGGCGGTAAGCAGTCTGTGGGAATTACTGTCTCCGTTCAGCACGTGACTGAGGGGGTTTCTGGGATGGGAGACCTTCCTGAACGGTCTCGAGCAACCTGAGGCGGCCGTCCTAACCCGAGCTGGAGTCCTATGTAGTCAAAATGACCCCTGAAAACCCGCTTCACCTGTCAGGCCCACAGGTTTGTGAAGACATTCCTCCCCGGACCTTCTGAGGCACGCACACTCCAGCTTGGGAACCGTCTGGTGAGACCCAGGGTCGTGGGCAGTGTGTTCTCAGATGCCCGGGCTGGCCTGCCAGGCCCGCGGGCCCCAAACTACCAGCAAGTCCTTGGTGGTGTGGGCTCTGGGGTCAGACAGACATGGACCCCCCACCCCCCCACCCCAGGCCCTGTCTC